TGGATTGCAGGGTTTTGGGCAGGGGGAGGTGCAATAATTTTTTGTTGAACACGTTTTAGGAACTTCTCCCCTCATTCCCCAGCACGACACAATCTTTCATCACCCCACCAGGGCTGGTATAATCCTTTTCTTTTGGCACCCACTGCTTCAGGTCCTGGAGCCTCAAGTGTGGCTCACCCAAATCCTTGGCATCACAGCTGTAACTTCAGAAGGGAGATGATGAACTTAAGGCAGGTAACAAGGAGCACTTGTACACCTTTATCTTGTTCTGACACTGCACAGACAAAGCCTGACAGCGCCGGTCTTCCCAGGCTAATCAGGGCAACCTTTGGCTCAAGTCCACAGGCATTTTGCTCATCCAAGCACCCTCACCAGGTTACTCATTATGGCCCTTTGATTACAGTGCTGCATTCACCTCCACACCATCTCACAGAGCACACAGAGAAACCAGGAAAGGCGGGGGGAAAAGGCACCGTGGAAAGTAACAAGTAAAGGACAAAATCAGGACAAGTAGAAACTAAATAAATCAGGACATGCCAGCTAGCTAAGAGAGGACAGAATCGACATCTGAAAAATGATGTGGTAAAAAAAGGGAATTATTTACTGTATGTAATAAAGGAAGTCAGGAAGCCTGGTTTAAACTGGCAGCAATTTAGAAACAAAAGGAAATGCCTTTTCATAAAACAATTACAGTGTGGAACTCAGTGCCCACAGGGGCTGGTCGAGGCAAAGCAGCACACAGGTTCAAACTGAGATCAGAGGAATGAACATCCAGGAGAAGCTACCAAGCTTCCAAGTCAGTCTCAGAAGCTGCTACACAAGTCTTTGATAGAAGCTGAAAAGATAGAGATAGGGAAAGATGATTCCAAATGTATTTCTATTTTCTGAGGCCCCTTCCCCATCCCACTCTCACCGGCCTCTGCTGGAGGCAGGATACTTGGTCACAATAATCTTTGATCTAATCTAATGTGACAGCTGCTGTGTTCTCATAAATTTCACTGAGCTTCACAGATCATTCAATCATTTTCCATGTTTATTGTTACAGTGAACAACAGGACATGTTCCTTCCTTCACGACTTCTTGTTTTGCACAGATGATCTCAAAGGACGAACCCAACTCCCTCGGAACAATTCACATTCGAGCAAATATTACGGAAACCAAACACAGCCTCTTGAATATTATTCTGGTTTCACATATCAACAATGAAGACACAAGGGACTACATAGAAAATTTCCTGTGGGATCCAGTGAGCCCTGCATCTTCCTCAACAGAGTTAGACTGCAGTTTCAGTGTAGTAACCCTTTACAGTTATGCAGTGTAACATCTCTGGTGCTTCTCTTGAAGCCACTTCTCAAGAAACCACAAAGTTCACCACAATCCTCCAGGTTTACGAGGAGTTATTTCATTTGAACACAGCCTGCTCCATTTGTTTACCTGCTGTTTGGTCTCATGATGCAACCCAACATTCTTCAATCAGTTCAGAGTGCTTGTAACACAGCCAGAGGCTTTGTCAGCCATAGGAGACTCTGGGCTTAACAAACCTACGCAGCCAGACAGCCGTGAGTTATTCTTGAACAAGACCACAAAAAAATAATTAATAAAACAAAACCCCCAACACATGGACCAGGTTGCAGCCTTCTCCCTTCCACATCTTTCTGGCTAAAAAAAAAAATGCACAGAGGCGGAGGCCAGGGCCCCGCAGCTGGTCATGGAGGAGGGCTGAGCATCCGGCAAGGCAGCACAGCTGCCGGCCACATGACACACGCCCTGGTACCAGCGGCGCACGGCGCTCGTGGGCAAATCGGCTCCCACCACAGAGCATCTTGTGATTATTTGCTGCTCCGTGCTTTCTCCCACTGCCCCCCCAGCGGATTTTGGACTTAAGATCGGAAAAAAAGGCACTAGTCACGAATAATGCAGTTCCAATTACAGTGCTTGAAACGTTCAGCTCAAAAATATGTTCTCACTGTTTCCTTGTACTTGCTGCTTAGGCAGTCCCGTGGATGTCATCGCATGGACACACTGGAGTGGATGTGATCAGCACAAGTATAAAGATCAGAATTAACTCCAAATTCCTCTGCTTTCAAGGAACTGTTTAGTTTAATGATTAAAACTTCATGAGTGCTTCGATTGTGTGAACACCTGTCAGTGCTCTCTGGAAGAAAAGGTATTTGCTTGCTTATTTATTTGAAAACTCAAGCTACATACTAGTCGAAGGAATTTTATTTGTTTTTTAAAACAGAATTGAGATGACAGTTTCAGCTGAAAAGTGAAGCTTCAGTGCAAAGCCAGCACACACAGTTTCAACACCCAGCTTTTGTTCCTGTGAGCACTGACTTTGCTGCAGGGGGGGCAGTCAGAACTGAACTCTGCACTTTTAAATTTCTTACTGCTCTGCTTTTGCGGGTAGCTGTACTAGGACCCCCATGCTCTTGCAGACTTAGGAAGACTGCACACTTAAGTTGTAAAAAAAGAGAATTAGGATTTTAAGCATCGAAGCCTGCCCTCCCAGCCTCACCTCTGCCCTTAAACAGCCCATTTGCATTACCTTTTGCACAAATGTGGATTATTCACTAATTAAAATAGCACTCCCCAAGAGCTCATCAACAGTCACATCCTTTCTACCCGAAGCTCATTTGGACTCTGGATCTAACTTTCAAAAAAGTCAAGAGCTCTGTTCAAATGGGCAAGAAAAGTCCATTTCCTCAGCTCTCTCCAACATTTGCATCCCTGCTTGGAAAATAAATAATTAAGCTGTGACATGGCAAAGAACAAGCCAGGAAAACATCAGCCCAAAAGAGGCAAGTTTTGGAGAGCTGGAAACAAAGGATTACAATAGGAATGCTTATATAATCTTAATTACAGAGGATGCTTCTTCCATAACCACAATGGCATACACATGGCCTACAACTGCATATGCTGGAGAGAACAGTAGTTATTCCACTGGCTTCTCCCTGTGCTTACCTCCCTCCTACCACAGTTAACGGGGCAAAGGAAATTCATTTCCATGCCCTTCCCCCAAAATGGAAAGGTTAACCATAATTCTGAGGGGAGATGAAAGCGTTATCACTACTCCAGAAGGATATCAATCTAAATAACCCTCACACTCAGTAAATCAATAGGATTCTTCTGGTTGCATCAGACCAGCCACACAGTGTTTGCATAGGGAAACAATCAATATGAATGTCATCCAAATACGGAACTGACAACAGCAGGGAATGTGAGCTAAGGGAGGAGATGGGGGGAGGGAAAGGGGCTGCACAAGAGGAGAAAAGGAAAGCATCGAAGGTGTCGGAGTCAGGAAAACCCTTCTGAGTTTTAGTGCCTCAGCAACCTCCATTCATATCTTGAGAAATGTCAGAAATCAGGAAATATTACTTCGGGTTGCATGCTTCTGTCCTGGCCTATCAAACACGCGGAGTAGTAACAGCAAATTACTGGAAACTGCACTTTGAACTTAGCCACTGGCAAGGATCCCAGTCAAACAGAAATGTAAAAGTTCCTTTCCTCCATGGGGCCTCTTGTGTGGGGGTGTCCCCATAGACGTTCAATAGCTGGTTGCAACAGGTTGGAATGAGGCCCTGAGCCAGAAAAACAAGCCCTGACCAGTATTATTTCCTACTGCCTACGTTGTTTATTAAAAGATATTTTGACGCATCACTCTCAGCTTTGTTGGGCTGCATTGGAGGCTCGAGGCCCATCGAGGAAAAACTGGCACCATTTTCACAAAGTGTTCACGCCTCCTTTTCTTCCAGCATTCTGCCTCATGCCTCAGTGTGCACGGCTATAGGTGCAGCACAAAGATACATTTAAAGAATTGAAAACAGGCAGACTGGTTGCTAAGCAAAGGCTCTGTATTTCCTGCAAATAGAGAAGTAATTAGATTCTAAACCCTATCAATATTTCTAGCATAGACAGAAGAAACAACATTTTTCTACACACCAGACTTTCATAACACGGTTTGGAAAAAAAAAATAAATAAAAAAAAAATCCAGCCACAGAATGTTCAGGAACAGTAACTTAATGTTATTAACAACCCAGGGAGTGCCCAGTGAGTGCAGAAAGGCATTGTAGCCTTCCCCCTTCCGGAGGTGAAATGATCAAAAGATTGGCCTCTTTACAGTCTGTTATATTTCTGTCTAAGAAAACCCAATTTGCACAAGCAAATAAACTAGCTCATTATAAAACTGAGGGGTCAGCCTGAGTCAGATAAACTCCGAAGTCAGACAGCTGAAGAAACAAACTTTTATTTAAGCCACAGCACAGGTGATCCTAAGAGGAAACAGTAAATCCCCATAGAGCCACAACTTCCACATTGGGCAACAGAGAGCACGAGGAATGGAGGGGCAGGGAGTGCAATTCTCTAACGCCACATGGCTCAGCACACATTTAATCAGGAACAACAGATCCCAGCCTTGCATTCAAAGTGGGGGAAAGGCAAATAGAAAAATCAAACACTGTCGTCACAATGCAGCGAGTCAAACATTATTGAAATCATAAGGACTAATCAGTTTCTTGCCTTTTCTTTCCGTTTTTAAGAGACCGGAATTTCTTCTTATTCTCTCCCCTCCAGGAAAGAAAAACCAAACAGCCCCCTCCCTAAAAGAATCCCAACCAATCCTGTTCTTCTTTTGGACATTGCCTAGTTACCAATATCAAGCACAGGTTCCATTTTTCCCTTCCTGATGAAAGGAATAAAGCCTGACTGCGTCAGGACTAGTCAAGAGGAATGACTTCAAAAAATAAAAAAATCAGGATACCTTACCAGGCATCTTGAAATTTTTATTATTTTTTTTTTTTCTTGGTAAGTTTATATATAACCTCCCTGGTGTCAAATCAATAACATTTTGTCCGTTTTATAAGCTTGATAGGCATTTCATTTTCAAAAAGAAACAAATTTTTATAAGAAAATAACACACTGAACCTCACAGGCATTTCTAAGAGATTCCAGATCGATAAATCCTGATTTGAATGAAACTTGCAAAGACACACACCCATACCTTAGGGAAATAAAGAGTGTTTATGACAGCTTCAGCCTGTTATTGTATGTCCTAAGGATTGTTCTGTTCATGCTGGATTCTAGGCCACTTTCTTGTTTCCTTGTTGAGTCCCCCTGCCAAGCAGAGTTACAATTTAGATTGCTGTACTTTTTTCTATGGAAACCTAATAATCACTGTTTAACTTAAAATTTGCCACAATTTCTGTGGGAAAAGGTATTTTACTGTGTATTGCCATATAGTTCAATTTTGGTCTAAAAATACATCTCTTTCTTCTGCACTGACTCAACATGTGGAAAAAGTGCAACATTTGAACTACCACAGGTGTAGGTAAAAAAATATTAGGTACCCCGTCTATGACACTTAATGTTATTATTCCATGACACCTGCTCCAAGAAACAGTGTCACGTATCAAAATAAAGGTAAATATTTTGTAATGCCTGTACAATAGAGAACAGACACATTTAGACATTTCATAAATAAACAGACAGAAAGATAAATAAACAAATACGTTGAGACATTTGCTGGTGTTTGTGAATGCAAGAGACATGCCACAGCTGGCAGGAACGTGCCTTGTCTCAGGTGTTAGCCATGTTTTCCCAATTTTCTGCATCCACTTGCTTCAGTGGAGCACGATTTTGTAACTCTGTAATCCAGAATCTTTGTACAGAATGCCATTATGACAAGTAATAGGCTTTTAATTTCCCCAAATGCTTTCTCATGCATAAAGTTTCGCCAGTAATTTTCACATTACACACCAGCAAATTGTATTTCATGCTGTATTCTGCAGAAAGGCTCCAAGTAGCTAATGCCAGTTTGAGGTGTGCTTGGTTTTAAACCATCCTAGTGCTAAATGATGTGGATTTATTGACAATAAACAGAAAGCAAAAGATGAACACTGAGCTATTCCTACAGTGACGAATGAGGTATCCACGCATCAGACCTGGAGCTGCGGGTGAGCAGGTAAAGTAGAAGGAGCAGACAGGAATTTAGTGAACTACAGTTTTACTAAAAGAAGTTTTGAAGTGTTACCCACCTCCTGCACTCCTTGGGCTTCGTGAATCGCTAAATTTATCCTGGAGAGCAACATTTGATGTCACCACAAATTCCACTGCTTAGCTCATTGCAACATGCAGTAGTTGAGAAGTCACAGCTGGCACATTGTCAAACAAGGAAATCCACTGAAATCAGGAGCAAGAATTGTTCTAGTGAATGAAAGAAGAAAAAGATCACCACAGAAAAAATAGAGGGGGTTGGGGCACTATCCGAAACTGTGTTACTAAACATTTTTCATTATTAATAGAACCATGGTACTGATCTAGCACTTTCATCACAGAGACTGTGCTGTGTGCATCATGCAAGGACATACTGGTTTTGTGGGGTTTTCCTCACTTTTCCCCCTTCAAAAAAACCCAAAAGCTCATGCTGAGATCAAATGGACAGAGGAGAGTGGGGTGAGCAATATTAAATCAAGGGCTTGATAGAAGTTGCTCTCTCTTGTTTTAGTCTCCCCACCACCAGGTTCAGACTTAAGAGGAATCATTGGTTAATCCCACCTTAGCTCTCTCCTTTTTAAATTTATAGTATTATTTTTTTCTAATGTTATATTTTAGAAGATTTACCAGATTAATGTTCCCTGTCCACCACAACATTTTGGTTACTACCATCAAAATTAGGTCTGACTCCATGTGAAAACATTCCTATTGCATGGGTAATTTTTCTTTTTTTTTTTTTTTTTTTTATTTTTTTTTTTTTTTTTTTTTTTTTTTTCATTCTGTTTAAGCACTAGGTATATATCTCACTTGTTCCCTAATTTCCTGGATATGATATATATTTCCTCACTGAAGTCACATGATGACACAGGCCTGCACTACAGCTTTGCTCTATCCTGTCAGAGGCATCAAGTTACTAGGAATGTCAATGGACTTCTAAGTAGAAATGGGTTAGGAGAGAAAGACAAATATATTTAGTAAGATTTTTCCAGAGAACACATGTTGCCCTGAAGCAAACAGTTTAGTATGCAGCTGATTGTGTCTGTATTAAAAATAAAAGAAAAAAAAAAAGGGGAGAATTATTGTTGTCTAAAAATTTCCATTCTTTGAACACAATCTAGAGCAGAAAAGTCAAAAATCTTCCCAAAGCAAACATGGAAGAGCCATCTTAAATGCTGGAAAACTAATGTCAACAGTATGGAGCATGCCACAGAACTTTCCAATTATTTCACTTTTCATGCAAGGGCAAGGGATCAAACTCTGTTCTTAGTGGCACACTGCAAATGAGGTAATGGGCCCCTGAGCTGGCTAGGGCTAATCTCAGATCTGAAGGGGACAGGAGAGGCAGATTCCCTTCCAAAAGGAAACATTCTCTTCTCCAGCAGCTGGAGCAGGTCCTGTATGGTATGCAACATGCCAACAGGAATGGAAGGACAATACAGTCAAAAGGAAAAACAACTGAGGAGGGGGTGTGGGGATGGAGAATGTATAAAAATCACAGCTGATACCATTTCTCCCATACACTAATACCTTGAGGAGTTCAAAGGTTTTCCATGCCTATGGCATTTGGCAATTATAATCGCACAGTAAAATACCTAAGGTTAATGAGTAACCTCTAAAGGAAGTTACTTCACATAATGACAGCAATTTCTCTGAACTAAATGTTAATAATCAGGCCTGTAATACGGTGAGAAGGAAATAGTGGGCAATTGGCAAATGGAACTCTGTTACCTAGTAACAAGTCCTTGAGGTATGAGCCGAAAAAATTTGAGCAGGCAAAACATTTCCAGGCAGGCAGAGCAGCTTGACAAACACAAAACATTTTGCAAAGCCGGCAACTGTCCATGACATGGAAAGTGGAAGCAGATGCGGCAAATTACCTCGTTAACAGGCGGTCTGAGGGACAATTAGCTAATGGCACAGCAAAGGGAACGCTGTCAGGTAACCAGCAGCAAGGGCAGGGCAGCAGAGTTCAGGTTACTCTGCAGATAAAAGGGAATCCTGCTCCTTACACTGGCATCGCTCATTCCCAGCTCTGCGGCTCCTGTGCCCTTCCCCTGCCCACCGGGAGATAAGGGGAGCGCTGCCGTGATTCCAGGCAGGGTGCGAGAAGCAGCCCCGCTGCTGACTCAGCAGATCCACCCCGGGCACCGCGGTAGAGCCGCTGCTGCACGGAGGGTTTCGACGCCTTTGTTATGAATGGGGCAATGCCATGCGTGCTCTGCTCCCAGCCAGGGTTACCTGCAGTTTGCCAGGAGGGAGAGCATGACGGTGATTTGCCTCAATCAAACACACCAAGCAGGATTTCCCAAATGTTCCCTCAGAACAACAAATGCACCGTCAAAATCATCTTTAAAAATCCATCTCCTTTCAGGCACAGCGCAGGAAACCACGTACCCACCTCGCTCTCCATCCTGTAAAATCTCTTTGACAGGTACAGGAACTGCACAGAAAAAAATTAAATAAATAAAGGTTTTGTCAATCTCCTTTGTGCATTTTTTTGCCACAATCAAACGGCATGTTTTATCTGTAAAGCTGGACAAACCAGCTCTTTCCAGAACATTGGTAAATCCCGTGTAAGCCACAACTGAAAAACATTTCCTACAGCAGCCTTACCCTCCCAAAGCCAGCCTGGCCCCTACCGTGCTCAAAAGTGTGTCCAGAACCATGCAAAGTCTTGGATTTGTGCACTCCATCATGACTGCTCATCAATATCACCAGCTGAAGCACCACAAAGGACATGAATGACGCCTCATTCCATCCTACATCATCCCACGCACAACTTCTGCTTCCTGGCTGAAGCTGTTCATCAATTTACAAATAACAAGTATGGCTAATGTGTGTCCTGTTCCTGACTTTTTCCCCTTATCTTAAAAGCAAACAAGGAAATTTGTGTTTCAGATGTGATGCTAATGCAAAAGTAAATTTTGTTTTTAAAATGCACAGAGCCCAGGAAATGCATATTTAAGCTCAGTTCTAAGCCATGAGCAAAACCAGCATTTTCATTCCATGACTATGATTCTGGACAACACAAGACATTTCAGTGCTCCCATATTTGCATAAATTTAGATCCAAACTAATTCCTGCAGGAGATGACTCCAGAAAAAGATGCCCCAGCAAAGCAAACACATCAGCAGGGAGCAAGGGAAAGATGGGACCACTCTTGCTTGGGTGATATACCACAGACAAAAGCATCCCTTGGCTCCCCTCCATTTAATTTCTCTCCTTGCAGAACTCCTTGGAAAAGACAGATCATACCCTACAGCCTAAAGACAGCAATAAGGCAGAGCATAATATTTAAACAATCCTGATACTGAAAACCTGGAACTGATTGGAATTCCAAGTCCCTAGGTAAGAATATTTCTCAGGAGGAAACAGCTGGTTGGCCTTCAAGCACTGTGCTTGCCACACATGCCCTTAATCAATTTGGTCTAATTTCACTAACTTGAGGTACTTACATCAGCTATGTGGTTTCCTCATCTTATTTGGACTCAGAAGAGAGCACAGACAGAAGTGACTGAAGAAAACTATTCCAGAAAGAGTCACATGAAAGCCTTTTAAAACTATCAGATCTTGCTTTAGACATACAAAAAAAATATAAGATCAAATTTGGCAGAACTCTGTGTTCTAACTAGTTTCCACTATCAGACAGAGAATACATGTGCTTACTTAGACAGCAAAGCTTATCCCTAAATCCTGAAGGACAGGCACAGTTGCAAGGATTGCTAAAAACCACGGGCCAAGTCTGATGGTAGTGCTGCAATGTTGCTTCTAACACTTGAGCAGGTTCACTTTGTGACTTTATCCTATGTCAACAAGCCCAGCTTTATCCTATGTCAACACATATGGGCAGGATGTTATTTGGTGAACAAAAGCCACCAGTGACCAACAGTACACAGGTGAAGCATTGGCTATAAAACCAGGATTGATAGAGAAATAATTAGAGATTTGGCACTTGCCATTGCTCAGATACCTGACTCCAGGAACAGGGGAGCTGACTGCTTTCCAGGAACAGCCAAGCACCCACTGGGGACCCCTTCACAGCACCCAAAAGCAGGAGCAATCAGAGCCACAAAGCACGTTCTTACCTGTCCTGATAGAAACCAATATTGATCATGGCACATTCTGGATATTTCAAGGAAGGCGAGAGGGTGGTCAAGGAAGCCCCAGATGGCCCATGAGCAAGCAGTGTACTCCATGTGCCAGGGCTACACTGAGGCGTCTGGCAGCGGGGCTGGATTGGCTCTGGAGCCACAGGGCAATCGGAGCCCGTGCCTGCGAAAGGCAGCAAGGCAGCAGAGCTGCCGGAGCCAACGCCACCAGGTCATCCTGGGACACAGCCACATCCGGGGTTTTGTTCCTTTCCATAATGGCCCAAGCCACGAGGCTCCTGTGGAGCTGCTGGCAGCACCACCTGCGAGTCATTCCTGGGACGAGTGCTCTGAGGTGCGAGGTTTGTAGCCCGAGGCATCTGGCAACATCTCGGCTTTGGCAGGCGGCTGCAAAGTCAGGGAAGCTGGCTGCCCCTCACCCAGAGCTTCACCCGGGCAGGCTGGAGCAGCTGGGGGGCCCTGGCTGCAGACAGTGTCTCTTTGCACAGCCGAATTCACGAGATGCACGGCCGTTCGGAAAAGATAAACGAGGTCACGGATTTTTATTTATTTATTTATCTTCACAACAACCAAAGGCTGCTGCTAAAAAAACCTTTCCTCCCTCTAGTACGTGCCCTAAGAAAGCTTCACCCTGGAGGCTGGCCATAAAGACGTTTGAAACAAACTCGACACTGGACTCATCATCTGCACCTCGGCCTGATCCTCCTGCCTTTGCCTACCCCACTTGTACAGTAGAAGAACTCTTATCGCCAACCAATCTCAAGTGACTCATTCTACACTTGTGCTAGGGAGATCAGAAGGAAGCCTCGTGACTTATAATCCATAGTTAAAACTGCAAGAGCATAAAGACAAGTTATCTGGCAAAATGAAAGTTAAATAAATACAGGTGCCTTGTGGTTGCTACTTGCTGATCTGGCAGCAGTTGTTAGTCATTTCATCAGAAGGCCCATCTGCGAGGATCTAAGAGTCAAAAGCTTTGATTGCCTGCCCTTTATGTTGTCTGGCTCCTCTTCACTCATTCTCGAGAGCCAATGAAGGCTCGGAGTAGTAACAGAAACCTATCCAAGCCATGCTGTTCTGCAGATGTTAAAAAGATAAATGCACAAACTGTGAAGGAGCTCACACAATACATGGCAAACGTTTTGATTAACTGCCCTAACTAGAAGTCACAGACTCCAGGCTCTCCTAGCGTGTGTTTTGGCTTTTGAGAAAGGAAGTCTGTAAAGGGGTTTTCTGTGAGTTTCTGTCATCCTGAGGTTGCTCAGAGCCAGGCTCAGCCCACTGCTCTGCAAGTGGGAGAAGGCTGCACTGTAGAGGAACTGGTGTGGTTGCACTTCAGGGAGCAGCAGGAATCAGATCCCTTTCAGGGAGGCAGCGACAGGAGCATGGGACACTGCACCCACCACTGGGGAGCAGCTCCACAACTTCAAAGGAATTCCTCCTCCTTCCTTCAGTCTGCCCAGTGGCCTGGATACCGGAGTCAGGCACACAGCCCTGTGTTTGGCCCTTTGGGAATCACAAGCGGAAAGAACCACAGGGAGCAAGCAGAGCATGAGGCGGTACTTGGGACTTTCTTCAAGCCCACCAGGGGTTGGAGCTTTGCAGGAAGCCAAGTGACATTTCTCAGGCTTAAAAACCAGAACAGCACCTGCCATAAAATACTTTGTGCCAAAAGAGAGAAACCAACATCACATTCACAAAATACCTCACGTGTCCAGCAGTGAAACCGGCCCGTACGCCAGGGAAAACATTGCATCCACACATGGAACTTCAGCACTCGCTGCTGAACTTGCGTCTCTCAAATTTCCAGTCCTGAACAATATAGGACAGCCCCAGAGACTCTGTGCATTGCAAGGGGTGTTGGCACAAGCTGACTGAAACCAAAAGAAATTCAAATTCAAGGCTGAATCGCTTTCCTTACCTCATCCCATTGTACTTAGTTATTTCAGCACATAATTGCTAACATCCTTCATTGATCTGAAATTCCTGTGGATACAATAAGGCCAGCCACGGATGGATGCTAGCCTTCACTCTGAGTATACAGGCTTTTGTCACAGCCCCTGGGCTCAAAAAGTATAAAGCTTTCAGAGTGTCAGTGACCTAAATACATCTCTGAAAGCCCCAAGTGCATCTGTGGGCGCCCCTCATGATGCATTCAGCCCATTTCCTGCAACCACGCCAAAAGCCTGAGGCTGCCCTGCACAGGCAGCTCCTCTTCCCAGCCCTGTTGACTTGTCCTTTTTTCCACTTACAGTCATAAAATCATTTCCTCCTCCTCCTGGGCTCTGCATTAGCTATGATTAACTGCCACAGGGCATCCTACTTTTAAATTCCCTGTGCAGCCCCATCTGAGGAGTTTGGTGTTGGTGCTTGGAGAGAAAGATTCACTGGCGCATAAAGGTTTTATTATTCCGAGAGCAGGGACAGATGTGCAGGTGATTTTTTTTTCTCTCCAAAGGCGAAAGGGACAAATTACTGTAACACATGAGAATATAACCTAGAATTATTGTAATGCAAGTAAGAGGAACAAATTGGGAGATGTGTATGAAATTGATACACTTTGATATTAACATCAGTTTTACATATAGATATGGGGACTACATACATATATATATATATATTTAAATATATACTAAGGGGAAACATCACCTAGTAGATATTTTTTCACACCTAAAAAACTATGAGCATCATTCTTTTAAAAAAAACTATTGAAATTATTTAAATTATTTGAAAATCATTTGAACTCACATACAAAATACACTCCGAGAAAGCCTTTACGATTATTTCTCATGGTTCAGTAGAAGTAAATGCTCTATTGAGCCTGTGTTTGAAAATATTCAGTCCCAATACATATATGGGAAACATACCACCCTGGATGTGAGAAATATATATTCCTGTCACTTTCCAAAAACAGCTTAGAAGACAGTGGTGAAATCAGCACAAAAGTGACCATCTGGGGTTTGTCTGAGGGAGCAATAAGATGTAGAAGTGAAAGAGAAAAAAAAATACATGGAAATTACAGGTCCTCCTTCCTGTATGCAGCAGTAATACATTTTGTTGAGACAGAAGTCCTCAACACATAAATATATCTAATAAATATGATATAATATCCAAACCTCCAGCAAATCTACGATCAAGAAAAGGGAAAGTTAAAACAAGCCAAACCTTTGATTTTCACAGACACTGCAAGAGGCTCATTTTAAATAGCTGCTCACTCCCTCCCTCCAGTAGGATCAGTCTTGGATATTTTTAAAATGTCCATCTAAAATTAGATTTACCTAAACTGTGATGGCCTCTACAGCGAGGGAAAAAATACTGGGGATGTACGCGTTCATTCCAGAATTAGATTTCGATTTTCCCTGCGACTTTTTAACAACCCATCTCAGCCTCCCTTTGGTTTTCAAATACTACTGACCGGGACTAGAGGTTCCCCTGCTAAAAACACTTATTTTCTCTTCACACATCGCCACTTTTTGCGGGGAGAGCCACAGCTCGAAGCCCCGGGGCTGCCTCAAGGCTGAGCGCGCTTGGCAGCAGCTGGAAAAGTGGGTCAGTGGCTGGCAGCTGAATGACCCCGTTCCAGGCGGGATTCAGGATGTGTCCCAACCTTTGGGGAACGGCAGGGTTTGTTTGCTCTCGGGGAGGTGCGGGTTATCAGCTCGGCGGGGAGCGGAAACAACCCAGCGGGGCAACTTTTGTGAGGATAAGCAAAGCTCCGGCTGCCCCGGGGCGGCCTCTCCCCTTTCCATGGGAGGCTGTCTCGGCGCAGGTATAAAACCTTATTAACCTGCCGCAAAACAGTGACCAATCCTTCTGGCACATCTGGAAATAGATCAGTGAAGTCTGGGGCGCCATCTTCCCCACAGTGCCAACCGCGATGGCTCCGCACATCACCTCAGCCCCGTGCAGCCGGCTGGGCACCGTGACACCGCAATGGCACGGCAGACAAAGCTGCAACACGCCGGCCGCTGTGGTCCCGGGGAAGAAGGCTGCTGGAAAACGCCCAGTTCCAGCCATTTTCACGGCGGGTTCAGCACCGCCAGGCCCTCCGCGGGTCGCCTCAGGCTGCGCGGGCTCGTGAGGGGGAGCTGGGTGGCGGGAACGCCGCCGCCGCCATTTCCTGTCGCCCCTCAGAGCCCTGAGGCGGGCGGGAGCCGTGAGGGGGCACCTGGGGCAGCGCCCGGCGAGGTGGGAATGGCGCCAGCGCCCGGCACCATCGTCCTCCGTCCCCCTCAGCGCCTGCGGCCGCCTCCACACCCCGTGCCCTGAGAGGGGAGGCATGAGGGAGAGAACGCTGTGTCCCCTCCGCGTCCCCTCGGACACCTTCGCGGTGAGGTGGGCTCAGCCCTGCAGACAGAAAGCGGACAAAGAATCCCCCGAGTGCAGCCACTGACTCCGATTTCTATTATCTCAACACCCACTTTGTTCCCTATGGTCATCACTTTCTAAAAACTGGGACAAAAACATCTCTCCAAGAGGCTGGCGGATGCTTTTGGCACATCTAGGCAGTGCCAGGACTCCATTCCAGCCTAACAAAGCATCAGCCACATAGAAGCGTACTTCCTGCAGATTTCAGAGCACTTAAAATCACCTCAGACCACTTAACTTCACAGAGATAAAATCTTCTCACTGCAGTGGCACTATGTGCCGCATTAGACCTTATTGCTAGGAGAGGGAACTTTAACATGAAAACAAACCCCTTAATGTTATCCTTAAAAAAAAAAAAAACAAACAAAACATTAAAATCTTAGAAGAGCCCAAAATGCAATTCAAGCACCCAGAGATCACCAATGGCCACACGTGTGCACGCTGTGCTGCAGCCTGTGATACTGCGTTGTGTCCTCAGTGACTCGCAGCATCATTTCAAACCCATCAGCATGCCAGGAGCTGCTTTAAGGGAGATGCCAACAGTTTTCACCATTGCTCTTTCCTCTTTTTCCCTTCCCCACCCTCCCCCAAAGAGCCAGCTTTCACACAAAACCCGTTTTTCTTCAGGTTGCTCTGAAGAAGATGCTGTTTTGACAGACTCGTGCATTTTCCCTCTCGCGAGTTCATGGAAGCCCTGCCAAAGAAAGTGATATATGGCCAGAAAGAGACCCTCAACCTCACCCTAATTAGAAGCCTTCACTATTCAGCAGGGTTTCAAGAGGACAGAAGCCTGAGGCAGCTGGATGGGAATACGAACCATACCATGCTCCAGCAGCTTTCTCATATTCATCCAGTGACCGAGATCCATCTGTTTATCATCAGCTGCATTACAGTCGGAGACAAAGTGTATTGTTAATAGGGTGTGTTTGAGAGAAAAGTCACAAGGAAGTGCCCTAAACTAAGTGATTTCTGAAAGTAATGGCTACGGAGCACATACCACACAGTAGCACAGTGCTAATGGATATTTTTCTTCAGTCATGGCCATTAACTGTGTGGTTCTGCCAGAAAGATCCAAAAATAAAATAGAAGGGGTGGCAAAGCACCTTATCTAGATAAGATATTTCAGTTTCTAATTAGTTCTATCTTTGATTCCTTTTTCTTGTGAGGAAGACAGGATTGGTCATACATTATCAGTAGAACAGCTCCTTTTGGCCACAAGCTTGTCCCTGACACTAACATTGGACAATGCTTCAGAGCATGCTGAACGTTCTCCAAGAAACATGATTACATAAACCAGTTCCAAAGCATTAATTAGTTTGCTTCATCACCCTCACTCAAGTTCCTGTCTCTAAAATAACAAGTCATGAATTATCACATATGACTGTTAAAATATATGAGTGGCTATTATCACATACTGCATGTTGTCTAGAAGCTGGGGGTTGTGCTTTTAGGGCCATAATCCTGTTCTGTTCAGCACTGTATGGAAAGGAGAAGCAACCAGGACACACCACCACATTTTCACTAAGGCACTGTGAAAATGCAGCTGACCTGATGCCACCGAGAGACATCCCACACAGAGTTTGGAGACTGGATCAGTGGAGAGCAACAGATTCCCTGCTGCTGAAAAAGCACTCAGTGGCCATCAAAAGTAAGTAATTTTTTTATTTTTTTTTTTAATTTTAATTTATGACAATGTAAGGAGATGTCAGAGTTCTTCCTAGTCTAGGCCTTCCTAGAGCTACTTGGACTTGTATTGATTTAAGTGTGGTGCCCCTTGGAGATGGGATAAAAAGCTGGACACTATGGAGCACACAAAATGCAACCAGATCAGCAGAAGGCTTTCAGTCCTTGAAGCCTCTAAAAATCAGAAATAGAGACACCTTGCAAGCAACACACCCAGGGTTATTTTAAAATCAAAGGTTATAGGGTGGATTTCTTTTTTTTCCTGTTGCCCTTGTTTCAGCTTTCAGAAATTTAATGTCGTTCCACACTATCAAAGCATTCATTCATCATCTTGATTTCTTGCCCCTCCCATTGTAAACTCTATTCTACCACCTTTTGCTCACTTCCATGCAGCCACTGTTCTCAGCAGGCTCCCAGAGAAGACTGTCTGGAGGCAAATAGGCACTCGGGTAACTCGAGCAGATTAGCTCATCTGGTACCAGGATTTATAAGGATGCTTGTTTTACAAAAGTTTGTGTGCTTATTTCGTAAAAGATAACTATCGTAAAAATTAGCAGTTTTCTTTCCTATACAAATAAAGATGGTTTTGTTTGCTAATAGAAGTTTGAGTGTCTGAGTTTGAAGTCAGGGTAGAAATAAAAGCTTGAGCTGGACCTTTTCCAACAGGACCTAAACCCGGAAGAATTACAGTAGTCTCGTGATCCAGCGAGGAGTTATATAACACTTGCCAGTGCCATGTGGAGTTATTTCTAAGGATGATGTCACACTTTGATCTGTGGCCCTGTTCTGTGAGGTGATTTTCACAGCAGGTCCAGGCTGCCATCTACTATTGGAATGGGCTGCACTCACAATCCTGTACAAGAGGTCGTTTAATCACAGTTACCTCTCTGCTCATCCCAGCAGCTTATGCTTGGCTTGAGCACCACTTCCAAGTAGGGCTGCAGCCCTGACCTGAATAAATCAGGAGCTGGGGAATTTATCACTTTCTTTGGTGGTTTATATACTGGTTATTAAACATCCCTGCTAAAGATACATGCCTTTGCTCTGAGTTTTCTGGTTTCAAGTTCAGTCTTGTGACTTAGCCAGCTAAATTGCAGAGCCCTTTAGTACGTATTTCCTCTCCACAAAGGTGTTTAAAGTGCTGTAATCAAGTCACTCCTCAGCCTTTCTTTGTGATAAGCTTAAATATAAGGAATTCTTGATCTCCTTCTCTCCATGCAAAACACGAGCCTTTAAAACAGCTCCCAAGATTTCTGCACTCTCCCATCTTTCAGCATCCTCTTAAAAGCACAAGCAACGAGAGGGAATGCCATACTCCAGTGCATTAAGTGCACTTGTGTCCCCTCTGAACTCCAAATCCTTTCCCAGATGTTTTATGGGGCATAGGTCCCCTTTAGGAGGCATGAATCTCATACCAGCCTGTCCATCCCTTAAATTTGTGTCTCTTGTTTTCTAACAACCAAGGAGTCTCCTTCACACCCCTTCCAACAGTGCAGCACTGCACAGATGTGGCATGGCCCAAAAAGGGCCTTTGAGCTCTCTCCCGTTGCTTTGACACTTTTCCCTTCAGCTTCCACTGGAATTGCCACCGAAACCACCATTAAATGGCAGCACACTTCAGATTAAAGGAAATAATCTCTGATTTAGTTTGTGTTGCAGATGAGTTTGGGAGGAAAAGCACATTCTGACAGCTACTTCCATTCCATTGTGCTTTTTTGTTTTTGAAAGAGAGAAGGCCATTTGTTTTCAATTTGTCTATAAATAATAGAGGAAAACACAGCTGAGGGGCCCAGTGTGATTTTTATAGAACGTTCATTTTTAGAAATCTGATAAGCTTAACCACATATGTTTGAAATCACAGCAATATAAAATAGAGAAATCTAACAAAAAAAAACCCCACTTGTCATGCAATCTATTATTTATTTTATCTAGAACTTAGCAGCATTTGTCAAATATTGTGTGTTGGGGGCAACTTTGGACCTAAATTCTGAACACATGGAGAAGTATCTTACAGACAGAATTAACAGATTAGGACTTAAATTTTTATGAGGTCAGAACTGGGGAGTTTTTCCCTGGATTGAGAGCGACCTCATAAGCCAGCATGACAATTAATTAGCTCCTGTTTATCCAAGTGAGCCAGGAAGGCAATGGACTACACCTGAATTCCTCTCCAGCTGTGTTGGTACAGGTCAGATCTCAGAGATTACCAGTGGTGATATCTGTTCCTCAGCCAGGGTACAACAGCAAATCCTTTATTTCTAGTCCCCTTATTTCCTCAGAAAGATCATATTTGAAAACAAATATATACATGAAGGAGGTGAATTATGCCACTTGTGTACCAAGAGAAAAATCCCCCAACCTGGAGTATTTAGTATGTTACCTGACCAATCAGAGGATTGCTGATTTACAGTGCTGATCTATGGTACACCAATCTCAGGAGACCAGAGAAAAGATACGCAGCTCAAATGGAATATTATGCCTTAGAATGTTAAATTCTCTCTTCCCACTCCTAGCACTATAAAAATTGTTTATGACCCTATTTGTCTGCTGCTTTCCTGAAGTACAATCACGTCGTGTCACACCCATGCCATTTAACTCCTATATCATGAAGTGTTTGTTACTAATGCGGCACTGAAGAATATTTCTGATCTGACTTGAATTTTTAGTGCACGTGGGTGAAGCTGCTGGAAATGGTGTTGTTGGAGAAGGGCTGTTTTCAGCTGGATCGTAGCATGTGAAAGCTGCAGGAAGCCATTAATAAGCAGAAGGGTTTTATTACAGAGGCTCTGGCCACTACCTTGTAAGGTCTCCACAACATCAGAAACCCAGCCTGTTTGTATCAGCACAGTGCCTGGAAGAGATACAGCAGCCTGGAGAGGCTCCTAAATCTTCACAGGAGTTGCACTTCTAAGTGCAACTTCCTATATAAGGAAGCAGGCTGTGTGTTAAAGGAAAAGCGAGACTTACGGGAAGATTTGAGGACGTGAGAACACTTCCCATGACACCAGTTGGCTGGAGCCATCTGTCCAACATGGGGAGTAATCATAAGAGCTCATAGGAAAGAGCAGGCAGCAAAAAGACAAGCTTGCCAAGGGGCACGGGGCACTACAGCAATCATCCCTGTCCTTTCATCCCTGCCGGATTCCTCCTGAAGGATCAGTGTGGGGTAACAGAGGTGGCTATGAGGGAGTCCAAGGGGAAGAGAATGGGACTGCAGCCATTCCCACTGCTGGCTGTGAAGGGTAAGCTCAGCTTTCAAGCCTTTAAGAATTCCTTTCTCCTCTGTTCCACAGAAAGGCCTGACAAACTAACAGTGATATACAAAGATTCCTGCTTTAAAAAAAATGTATTTCCTACAGTTTTAAGAGCTGGTGTTTGCCCAGTACACTCAGCTATGGTGTGTGCTGGCCTGCCTAGCTGATGGCACACACTGCAGATATATCACATCCAGACTTTCAGAGAGACAGAAGGGGAATTGCTGTGTCCACAGTCTTCTCAGACTTCCCTCCAGGTGCTGTGCTGGCAGCAGGCCCTGCTGCTCCCTAGAGAGGCAAGCAGCGCTCTTGACTCAGAAAATGTTAGCAGACTATAACTAGTCATTTCAAGAATATGTTCTGTTTTCAGATAAACACACACAGAACATGATGGAACAAGACTTTTTTCACAAAGGAAGCTGCCCTGTCTCACTGGACTCAGTCCTGATTGCGCTTGCTTAGACATCCAGCCATTACTGGAACCTAAAGGGAGTGTTCAGCCAAGTGCATTAGGGCAGGAGGTTGCTTAAAGACCTTGGCTTTAGCCCCCAGTGATTTTGGAGCACTGAGTTTAAAACCACCCACCATGGTGTCTGTGTTTGTAGTATATTGATTCACATTGCCCACGTACACGCCCTGGGAGGACATGACAGATTTGTTCCTGTCATCTTTTACCACTCCTTAAGGAAAATATGTAACCAGCATCCCACCTGTCACATACTGAGTCACCTCCCAGTTAAATACATTTCTTACTTGTATTTTTTTCTATTCAGCAGATAAACATGCTTCATTTGTCAGCACAGTCACTTCCTCAGGAAAAGCACTGAAGGTTATTCTGTATCAGAATGCAGATCACCCAGCAAAACACTTGCTCTAAGACTTTAAATGCTCAGACTTTAGGAGCAATAAAGGTGCTGGGACCGATTTCAATCAGGTGCTGCAGGAAGGGGATCCTCTTAGGCTGGAAAGGGAATAGCTGAGTTGGCATGGTGGCCGGTTTGGTCACCCAGAGTGAACATCCTGCTGTCACGCAGTCATTGAAGCGTGGTGGTTTTACACACAGCAGTGCTGTGAGAGCTGTGCACGGAAAGCTGTCTGTGAGTCATGGGAACAGGTGGGCTCCCTGTGGATCTAAGCAGCTCTTAGCATCCCACGGGCACCAGGTCCCCACCCAGGCCAGGAGGGCCAAACCTGGAGCAAGAGTGGGCTGCACGAGTTCCCAGCAGTATTACACAAGCTACTATTGGATCTTGTTTACAAAGTTAATTTTTTTCCCCCTCTAAGAATATCTATTCTCCAAGCCTCCTCCACACATTACAGGGAATTATTGTCAATTCATAGAGGGGCGTAAAGTTTAGGGATTATAAATGGGTTGTTTGCTCCAGCTCATGGGGCAGTCTGGCTGCAGGATTAGGAGCAAGTTTGGCATTCCCACTATCTTGGCTTTGTGCTTTAATCAAACTTTATGTAAGATGAAGGAGGCCCAGGAACTCGCCGTACTATCTCTAATGTCAGGAACTGATTACAAAGGCACCAGTGCTTCTTGTTCTTGCCAATACAGCTCCAGTCTGGTAGAAAATTATTTGACTGAGGGCTGGTTCAGAAAGGAGCCATAAACAGATAATACCCACATGACTACAGGAACCAAGAACTTAATCTCTGATGGTTATTTCCCAAAGTAAATATTTAAATAAACTAACATCTAAAAAAT